TGAAAATCTCCTAAATCTCCACTTTGTAAATTTGTTTTTGATAAATGAGAATAAAAGACATCTCCCAAAAATAAGCCAAAGTGTTGTTTTTTGAAAGAAAATTGAAATAAGACTCTGTCTTGTGTTTGAGGAAAACGGAATATACTCATGAAACTTATTGATGTTGTTTCGTATAACTTATCTAATTACTTTGATTTCTTCAAAGTATTACTTTATGTGAAATTCGGAGATTTGGATACTTTATTTGCGTAATCATAAAATTTAAAAGACTTGAAATAAATTCAGCTTCTATGCATTATGTTTCTTATTTCGTTGTTTGTTCAGAAACTTTAGTAAAAAATAACTTAAATATAATTTCAAATTTTCCTCTGGATAAAATGGGCCCATAGTTTCACCAATTGATGACTTTGATGGACTGTCCGACATGCGGTTCCGTCGTATCAACTTAGTATGACAGTGCAATATAACTTTTTCGTGGACACATTTTGAGTGCTATTGTTCCATTTTACTTGCAATACATCTTCAGTTAGGCTTTTTCTCTAACGCAGTGGTTCCCAACCGGTGGAAAATTTCCCACTACAGGGAGTCCTCAACTTACCACGTTGTTCCGTTCTCGAGAAGCGGTGTAACCCGAATTTCAGTGAAGTTGGAACATTATACTGTACAGTACATAAATTACTCTATACATACCGTACTGTATTGTAAAGTATGGTACTGTAATAAAATGTACAAATAATGCAAAAAAGTACTTTATTAAAATAACAGAAAACAATTACATATCACATGAATAAAAGCAAATACTGTACAGTACAGTATTATCATTTATATTTTTTATGGAGTGCATTCGAAACCTCGAAACAGCATTATGGAGTGCGCGTTCGTAACCTCGAAACAGCGTAAGTCGCGACCGTCGTAACCCGAGGACTCCATGTAGTGGGAAATTCAAGGGTTGTTGGTGGAAATTGAACGCTCTTCTAAAAATATAAGCACAATAACTCAAGTGAAAAATATTACAGATTGAAAATACCAAAAATCACAAGAAGTGGAAAAAGATTCCCATTCTGCCACAATTACTAAATTTTTGATAAAATTCGTTGTGAACATGTCGTTGGGCCATGGTATTTTTGATCGCGTGGTATTCACGTAACTCATCCTTGATCTCTGGATGACCGATAATGAGCTCACCAACATTTCACGTACGAGTACCGATATCGATGACTTCACATAAGTATCGATGCTACCATGACGCGAATAATCTTCATAAAGGGATGTGAACTGCTCATCCTGCCTGGGAGTATATTGGAGTTATTTGTGAGATCCTAAACTAACGTATGACTCCTTGCATTTGGGCTCTCTCAAACTGTCATGAGTAAAATATAAATCATTGATTTCTAACTTAAAATAAATATCACAGCAATAATTTGACAAATTAATTTGATGTCAAAACTGTAAATGACTTCCATTTGATTTCAAATTTTTCTCGACACACTGGGCTCATTGTTTTACCAATTTATCCCATTGGTGGGCTGCTAGACATGCTGTTCCGTCGTACGAACGTCGTATGAAAGTGCGATACAATTTTCATAGTCGCATAATTGAGTGTTGTTGCTTTATTTCACTTGCAATACATTTTCATTTCTGTGTTTACAAAACGCAATACAAAACGTTCAGCTTAAACAATGGTGGCGCAACGTCGAAAAACTAGCAAAATTTACAGAGAGTGCCCTTTCACGAAATATGTCAACAATCGTGCCCACTTACCCACAATTTGGCTGGCGTCAAAGCGTAGCACAACTATTTGTGCTGGAAAACAAAAGGGAATTGGGATAACGCGTCAATAAAAAAACATAGATGAAACACATACTTATTGTAACCGTTAGTTTAAGGTAAAAAGTTTATTATCATATTATGAAAGATAAAACTGTATGAATGGTCTATATAAAGGTATAATGGTGGTTTTCAACCTTATACAAATTAATTTATTCAAGCGCATTTGATTTTTAAATATTCTGAACGGAGAATAATTGTGGACTATGAAAACCTTGGCTTCAGTCTTTGCCCGACCCTGATGACGATACTCGTAAACATTTACCTCATAACGGGCGAAACACTGGCCAGAACTCACCGAGTGACTCTTCCACTAACATTTCGAGAATATCTATATATATCGCTTTACATATCACGGATAGTCTCAATTAAATAACCTGCACGTTAGTTTTATAGTAGTAGATTTACGTGGATAAATTACGGGAAATTTTGGGTGAATTTACAAACGATATCAAGTAGTAATTTTACAGCCATCTTTTAGCAGTATAACCAAAGTTGTAATTTCAAACAGATTAAGTTCGTTTTTAAATTGCTGCGAGTGTAAAGTTGGAGTAGCTGCTAATTTTCAGAAGAATGCGTAACGTTATATATAAAATCATTTGCGATTTTTCTACAAATAGAATATTGTAAAAAAAACTAAAATTAATTCTGCGATATCATTGTCTATTCTGTTATAAACGTCACGCGATGTCGGATTAAATCAACATCATATAAACAAACTATATATGTGTGTGTCTTTTCGAATGCGTTACATTTTTTGCATAAAGGCGGCGCGATAAAGCTATCACATTATAGTTTAATTATAGTAGTATGAAAGCAACTGGTCGATGGAATAGTTTGCTTTGCTAGATTTTCAAATTATCTGTTTACAAAGCTAGTGATATTTAGGGTGATTTATGAAGAGTTGGTTAATTGTGAAATTAGAAAAATTCAAGGTAGTTGTTTATCTGAATTACTTTTAAAATTGGACATAAAAGAGATAATTCTTAGAAACTCGCACCGAGCGGCAGAAAAGTTCTCATTCGTATTAATGTCTGTATAACCGACACACAAAAATGCTATATACGCGTAACAAACTGCCGCATGGCGGTCTTCTTATTAGAATTGCTTTCAAATCATTCAAGGTTTGCTTATTTAGGCATTTATCGGCGCGTAGTATCCCACCAACATAATTTCTATAAATCTAGCATATTTTATAACTTGAGTGGTTTGTCAGTTGACCTATTCAATAACAAATTCAGAAGAAGCATGAGACTAAGGAGCTTGGGGCTACTTTGGCGAACTAGACATAAGGCTTATTCTACACGGCGCAGATGGTCGTGGAACAAAGCTGACAGAAAGGCATAAACTACACCAGATATAATGACTTAAACTACGTCAGGCAGAAAGACACAAACCACACCACTAACACCAGGTATAAAGGCATAAACTACATCAGGTATATGGGCATAAACTACACGAGATATAAAAGCATAACTTACACCAGATAGAAAGGCATAAACTACACCAGATAGAAAAGCATAAACTTCCCCAGATAGAAAAGCATAAATTACACCAGATAGAAAGGCATAAACTTCCCCAGATAGAAAGGCATAAACTACACCAGATAGAAAAGCATAAACTACACCAAGCAGAAAGACATAAACCACACCAGATAGAAAGGCATAGACTACACCAGATAGAAAGACACAAACTACACCAGGTAGAAAGGCATAAGCTACACCAAGCAGAAAGACATGAACCACACCACTAACACCAGGTATAAAGGCGTAAACTACATCAGGTATATGGGCATAAACTACACGAGATATAAAAGCATAACTTACACCAGATAGAAAGGCATAAACTACACCAGATAGAAAAGCATAAACTTCCCCAGATAGAAAGGCATAAACTACACCAGATAGAAAAGCATAAACTTCCCCAGATAGAAAGGCATAAACTACATCAGATATAAGACATAAACTACACCAGGTAGAAAGGCACAAACTACACCAAGCAGAAAGACATAAACCACACCAGATATAAAGGCATAAACTACACCAGATAGAAAGGCAGAAAGACATAAACCACACCAGATATAAAGGCATAAACTACACCAGATAGAAAGGCATAAACTACACCAGATAGAAAGACACAAACTACACCAGGTCGAAAGACATAAACTACACCAAGCAGAAAGACATAAACCACACCAGATATAAAGGCATAAACCACACCAGATATAAAGGCATAAACCACACCAGATATAAAGGCATAAACTACACCTGATAGAAAGGCATAAATTACACCAGATAGAAAGGCATAAATTACACCAGATAGAAAAGCAAAATGTACACCAGATAGAAAAGAATAAACTACACCAGACAGAAAGGCATAAACTACACCAAGCAGAAAGGCACAAACCACACCAGATATAAAGGCATAAACCACACGAGATATAAAGGCATAAACTACACCAGATAGAAAGGCATAAACCACACCAAGTATAAAGGCATAAACTACACCAGATAAAAAGGCTTAAACTACACCAAGCAGAAAGGCATAAACCACACCAGATAGAAAGGCATAAACCACACCAAGTATAAAGGCATAAACTACACCAGATAAAAAGGCATAAACTACACCAAGCAGAAAGGCATAAACCACACCAGGTAGAAAGGCATAAACTAAACCAGATAGAAAGGCATAAATTACACCAGATAGAATTTTAGTCTGCGGAGTGTGAATATAAGGTATCGTTTTTTGTGTGTGTTTTTGTGATTTCATCAGACAATCTGCCAATGATGTACTACCATGCCTGTGAATGGCAACCTATATCAATCAGGGCTTATAATGTTAGTATAATACATTGTTAATATAATGCATTTTAGTTTTTTTTTATTATCTGGATCTATTGTTAATGAAAATATATTATAAAATTCGATGTCCGATGATCTCACACCGATCTTGTGTTATCATGGTATAGAGAACTCGCTCGGTGAGTTAGTCCGCATTAGCGGTATCAGAAGCAAGGTTTTTTGATGACAAATAGCGTAATCGTGCACTGTGAAAATTGTTGAAAATATATTTATTCATTACCTTCTAAATAAAATTCGAGTGTTTTTGAAAAATTAGGCATTAAATTATCGAAATAAGCAAAATAAAGCTTCCTGCTTTCAGCTATTATTTTACAAGCTAAAATCTCAAGATGAAAATCATCTTTATCTTGTTCTACGCCATCACTTCAACCTGGTGTCAAGATGAAACAGTGTTCCACTGCTCTCCTAGACCCGGTTGTGAGATAGCACGATGTGACCCGGTTGCTATAGGATGGGACAGACCAGGTTTCAACATTGATGAACATCTTCGTGACAAAGAATTTCCAATAACATGCAAATCTAAGAAACCGGCACAAACCCAGAATACTGTCAACCTGTTTCATTTGGTATCAAGGAATATTTTAGGTAAGTGACTGATATTTTCAATAATTCTGATCACCTAAAAACAAAATATACTGATCCTTCTTTATGCATAATCTTATTAATGCGAGTCGTATCGATATTGAGCTGTACACAATTCTTGTTCGTTCGAAAAAAAGCTAAATAAGAACTAATAAACGAATAGTTTTGAATTTTTGTTTCTCGTTTAGGATCCTATCTTATTATCACTATTTTCCCCAGTAACTTGAATCCGCAAATACGTAGGTAAACACATAGGATCAATAAATATATTTTATCTTTGAATCAATCGCCTTCGAGAATTTTTTTTTTGCCAAATTTTTCCATAACGATTAGACATGACGTTATAATGAAGCCAGTAACATCACTTGTAATTCATTGAATTAAGAATCAATCAATATGTTGAATTCTCATTCAGATATCGAGAATGTTAAGTTAGATTTAAAAGAACTGGAAGAGGATCTCAATGATAAAATGAAAAACATTAACGGTTTTGGAAAGGAAATATCTGGTAAAAATATGAATTTTGTTGTCAAGGTATTTTTCATTATCAGGTTGATGTTTCCTCGCAAATATTCTATGCGTACATTTTGTTTAAAATAAAATGAAAAACATTGCCGGTTTTGGAAAGGAAATATATGGTGAAAATATGAATTTAGTTGTCAGGATACTTTTCATTATCCGGTAGAGGTTTCTTAGCAAATATTCTATGCGTACATTTTGTTTAGAATGTTTACGGAAGAAATTGAAATCATTCATATGATTTTGTGTTGTTCCAAAAAATGAAAACTAGAGTCCTTCAATTTTTAACCAGAAAGTCGCAAGTATCGGAACAAAATTGAAGAACAATCAAAAGAATTTAACAATCTCAAAAGAAAAGACACACAACAATCTGATGAAATGAAGAAATTGAAGGAAGGTTGGTGATATATTCGTCTACATATATCGATAACAGTGTAACAGCTGAACCCTTGAAACTAACTATGACGTAGAAAATAGAAAGTAGGATGATAACCACAAATATTACTACTAACTAAAGTTAAAACTTCTCACGAATTGTTGGAGGTTCGGAATATTTCTATATTAAAGCATTCTTGAGATTTCCACCTTCAATTTTATTTTTTCGGTTGATTTTGCTGAATATTTTCATTGCAACATTGTTAATATCTTAAAAGTCGTTTATTTCGAATATATTATGAAACAACACTGAAAAAAGTTTTACCTGAATATGTTTTGTTTGGAGTTTTTCTTTCACTATTTTTAATGATGTTTCTTTCATTAGATTTGGTTGAAGTACAAGAATTTAATAGCAAGTTGTTAGAAGAATTGAATAAACAAAAGAAAACTAACGATGAGATGAAAGAAGGTAATGGCTGTTGGGTAGTATTCTACTTTATTTAATTTGATTTGGTGCAGTTTTTTAAATGCGTTTAAATATTCGGGAAGCCCTAATTATACAGTCGCAAACGAGAAACGACGTGAAAGCTATTTCATTGTTTGCAAAATAATTAAAAGTGAATGATGAATGAATGCAGCGCTCAATTCATTACTAAGTCGATTAATGCTTCTCTAATATTTGTGAATAACCTTTTCACTAATTTGAAGAAAGGTAATTATTTCAGAAAACTGATCGAAAAGACATTATCTCGCCCCAGAAAATTATAATTTCTTGTTCTACGTTTACATATTTATAGGTTTATTTACATAAATTGAATAGGCATAATATATTTTTAAAACCAAAAAGAAAGAGATTAACCGTCTTTGCAACCACTGAAATGCGTTTGCCAAAGCTTTCTTGTGTTGGAGATATCTGACGTTTTTGTTATATTAAAGCAATTTCTCGGATTGAACAAAAACTTGCTGTAACAGAGGATCCTCAGCAACGTCAACCTAGATCTAGCCAGATCACCCGCCCAACAATAAATACTCAAACAACATTGAAACCAACTATTTCTCAAGGTGAAAATTTATTTAAATATCATCTTATTTGTAGGTTAGGATATTTGACGAGTAGTTCACAAGAGAGTGACTATAGTTATTTCTGTTCGAATTTTTTTATGAGATTTTTTTTTACCAATGTTGCTTCCCTCACCCTGAAATGCATGTTTTATAAATTTATGTAATTTGTATATCTACTGTGCTCTCAAAATGATAGAAAAAAATAAACTTCTGATTAATTTTAGTGAGCGATAGACGTTTTAAGATTGGAGTATTGGTGCTTCTTGCAAGAAACGAACTACTTATATTGATTGATTCTTAAACATACAGATATTATCTTCCAGAAATCTGCAAATTGAAGATTGGAAATGTTTGTTATTTCGCTGTGATCTCTGGTAAAGATCGTGTCAATTACTACCAAGCAGTTGAGCTCTGCAAGGAACGTAACGCAGATGTTGGTTCGATCCGAGATGAAGAATCATACAATGCGATTATGAAATTTTTGAAGAGTAACATTCCAATGGAAGATTCATGGGTTTGGATATGGACAGGAATCCACTTTGATCCGATTGTTAGTAACTTATAGTTATGCTATTTATACTCGTGTGAACAAATATGAATGTGACAGTTTTGTTAAAGCCAGAATACGCAGACAGTATCAGTATTCTTACGATTACATTGGAGATTGTTTTTAGTCGTTAGGGTCAAATTGAACAGTGTAATAGTTTTGGACAAATCGTCTCACCGCGTGAACTTGAAGTTTTATTTCTAACACATGAAATACTAAAAAAACTACCCTACAATTTACCAGACATCCTGTATAATATTTTGAATTGTGGACGATAAATATAGGGTTATTTTTGATATCGATTAGAATGCACGATCATATGATGAATGCCATATATTCAATATTTTTTCAGACTAGTGACGTCACACCTGCGGATTCATTTATTAAATGGTATCCAGGTAATCCATCTTCGGGAATTGATTATAAGGATCGTACAAATGTTTATCTTAGTGTTCAATCCAATCCGAATGATCTCTATCAAGGGATGTGGAATGTTCATCCTACCTGGGAGTATCATGGAGTTATTTGTGAGATCCTGATCTAACGTCTTACTCGTTGCATTTGCTCTCTCTTGAACCGTCATAAGTAAAATATAAATCATAGATCCATCATTTTAAATTTAAATAGCTACCACAGCAATTATTCGATAACTTGATTTGATGTTCAAAACTCATTATTTGCTTGATTGAAATTTTGAAATATACTCACTCCACGTAAGCCAATGAATGATTCCCAATTTTTGTTTTAAAATTTCCAACATTGCAAATTTTTTTTTTAGAATACAGATATATTTTACTAATTACCCATGATCCAGATTTCGGTGAAAGATAATGTTGCTTATCTAACTACTTTGAGTTCATAAAATATAAGTTTATGTGAAATTTGGAGATGTGAATGCTTAATTTACGTAATTGTGAAAATTCTAGGATAAAAACATTATAAGGTTGCTCCATTCATTTGAAATAAATTCAACTTCTGTGTGTTATGTTTCTTGTTTACTAAACTGATTAGAAACTCATGTTTTAAGTAAAGACTCTCGATTTCCCTCACATTTAATGATAAATAGAAAGATTGAAACATGTTCAGAGTAAATCAGCGTTCATTTTAATATCAGAGGTAAATTATTCAGAACAATTTGAACTCTCCAATAGGCCCAAGGCCAATCTTGAATATTTCGTATTGATAGCAAACTGATGGCTCAATTCGAATGACTTATGTACAAGAGGGAGAAGCGTATATTTTGTTGAAGGTTACTTTGCACAATTTATCATCAACACACAAATTTTCAGCATGTTTGCTCGAGCAAACAGTACGAGAGTAGTCAATGGAAATAATTTTATTCTGATTTTGGAAAC